TCCTCCTCCTCCTCGTTCCACCCCTCCTCCCTATCCCCCTCCCCCCCTCCTCTCACCTTCCTCATCATCCTCGCCTTCGTCCCTTTCGTGACGACTCCCCCGCGCCTTTCGAGAGGTCTCCGGATGTGATCGTAACTTCCCAGAGAAAGCCCGGAGGCTCTTCTGGAGATTTCCTGAGAGGCTATCGAAGGTCACGTGCGTTTCTGGGCGGTCGAGAGAGAGGGCGGGTGTCCGCAGCCACCGGGCCTCCACTGATCCGGCTCGGGCTGGCGGCCCGCCGGGCTGGGAGGCCGCAGCCACCGAGGTCGGGCCAGAAACGAGCATGTGGAGGGTTGGTGGTTGCGGATGCTTTCATGACCCTTGTCCGCCCCCCCCTCCTCTCTCTGTCTTTCTCTCTCTGTCTTTCTATCGTTCTCTGTCCTCTCCCTCCTGGCATGCCGCGGGCGTAGCAAGGGCGGCTGGCCGCCAGACCACGGTCGCAGAGCCTCCCGCCACCTTCTTCACCCAGTCCCTCACCCTGCCTCCCTCCCTTGCTCCATCCAAGTGTTTCTTTCTGTCTTCGCTATACAAACCAATCAGGTCTGCCATGCTCTCTCGTTAAACTTGTTGTGGAAATACGTATACACATAGAGACAGGCGCTGACCTTTTCCACCACCCCTGCTAAAATTGATGCGGGAACTTTCTTCAAGTTGACGATGCTGGTCGCGGTTTGCTTGTTACGCATCTCCATGAACGAGGCCTTACCAGAACCTCTCTTATCAAGGATCCCTTACCACAGGCATCCTTACCAAGGAATCCTTACTACAGCAAGCATGAGTAAATCATCATTGCTACACGGACCCTTACTGATGGGGTCATTACTGAAGGCATCAACACAAAGGGTTCCCCACGAAAGGCGCCCCTCCGAAGGATTCCGTGGTAGTGACGCCCTGACCAACGAATGCTCACCAGAGACACCCTGACTAAGAACGCCCCTCTAACGAAAAAAAACGCTTACAGACGGCGCCTTGATACACAGAATACCCCTACGAATGAGCGGTTCCTCCTGAAGCTCACACCAGGCATCCTTCACCGGAGGAGGAGGAGGAGGAGGAGGAGGGGGAGGAGGAGGAGGAGGGAGGAGGGAGGAGGAGGGAGGAGGAGGAGGGAGGAGGGAGGAGGAGGGAGGAGGAGGGAGAAGGAGGGAGGAGGGAGGAGGAGGGAGGTCACCAAGGGCCCCTGACTGCAGGCATCCTGACCGAGGACCTCCGGCCGTGGCCAGAGCGGGCGCCTTCGCACGGCGTCTCCCATGGAGGGTCTCGCTGGTGGGGCCGCGCGCGGGGTGCGAAGAGGGGAAGGGGGGGGGGGCAGGGAGACGGAGAGAGAGAGTGTGAGAGCGAGGGGGGAGAGAGAGGGGGGGAGAGAGAGAGTGTGAGAGAGAGGGGGAGAGAGAGAGAGAGGGAGAGGGAGAGGGAGAGAGAGAATGCAACCATTTCCTCCTCCCACGTACACCCCCCCCCATGTGTGCTGCGGGGCGCGCGAGAGAGCAGCACGCCCAACCACCCCCAGTGCCTCCCTCTCTCTCTCCGAGGGCTCCTGACTAGACGGCTCCTTACCCACGACCCCTTCTTTTATACAAGGCATCCTTATAAAGGAAGCCAGACTAGAGGAAGTAGTAATAAGGAACCATTCCCGCAAGTATCCATACGGAGGGAAATCTCACGGAAGGATCATCACTTTGGGGGGCCGTACTAAAAGCACCCTTACTCAAGATGCCCTTAACTGGACATCATTACTAAGAAAGCCTTATCAAAGGAAATACGAATGAGGTCCGTACTACAAGGACGTGAAGCATGCACAATTAATCATTACGACAGGAGTCACCAAAGAGGGGGTGCCCTGACTAAGACCACCCACACTAAGGGTTCCCCACGAAAGAGATCCTTCCGATGGTTCCTTGATAGATTAAAACACCCTGGCGGAGGAACAATTACGGACAAACTCCTCACTAAAGGTCTCCGTGCACAGGGATCCTTACTCAAGGTCCCCTAATACAAGGCACCCTTACGAATGAACGAGTACCGACATCTGGATTAAGCATCCTTCACCAAAGGAATGCACTCGAAGGGCCCCATACTGCAAGCATCCGTACTCAATAATCTCCAGCAATGGCCCCAGCCGTTGCGTTCGCTTGGCGCCCAAGAGGAGTTACATTGGCTAGGCAGTGCGCGAATGTGAATGGCGATGCATGGCAGGGGGACCGCGAGAGAGAGAGGGGAGGAGAGAGAGAGAGAGAACAAAAAAAAAAGTTCCCCCCTCTCGGTGTGTTGCGGGGCGTGCGAGGGAGCAGCATGCCCCTTTCCAATTACTCCTCTCTGAGGACTCCTTACTAAACGGTCCACATCACCCACAACTCATTGTGTACAAGGCATAAGTATGAGGGAAGCCCGATCACAGAAAGCAAATAGGAAGGAACCCGTTTTACAGCAGGGACCCGTACCCAGGGGATCCTTACTAAAGGCATCCTTACTAAAAGCATCATTATTACACTACAGATGCCATTACCGTGGGAATCCGCACTAAGGAGCCCTTACTCAAAGAACTACGAAAGGAAGCACGAGTACCTACCCGTTACCACAAGGATCCTGAAAGAAAGGGCCCTTACCAAGGGCATCCACACTAACGGTTCCCCACGAAAGGGGCCCCATCCGAAGGATTCCTTGCTAAAGGCGCA